TGTAGGATAATGTGATCCCATGAACCTGATGGATCTCTTCCAGTATCTCCTTTGGTTTATAGTGAGGATTTTCCTTCAGGCGTTCCGCCACAGCATCTGCAACCCACTGAACCGAGGCTTGTTGATGGCCAAGATGATTGATTCCTCCACAAGTATGCTTGTTGTGAATAGTTCTAATGCTGAAATTAGGAACACCGGGAAGTTTTGCAGCATGAATTCTCCAGGGGCATCCTGGACTTGCACACTTGGCAGTGAAACGAGACTTATCAGACTTAACAGTCTGCATCTCAAATCTAAGAGCAATGGCAGCATCCCTCAGTGCCCTCCGGCAGCTCTGGACGTCAGGAAACTCTTGTCCTACAGACAACTGATGGTCAGGAACTGGAATCACAGGTCTAGATTGAAGAACAGGAGGATTGATTACCAACTGGGGCTGTTCAATGAACATATCTAAGGCAGGTATGATACTCATCTCCGGATGTTCCTGCTGCTCATCTGATTGTAAGTTCTCATGAACATCCTGGCTTTCCACAAGTGCCAATTCATGATTATCAGATGAACCAAAGTCACGACTCTGATCAGTAACAGTGAATTGATCATCATCATCTTTGATATCAGTATTTACTTCATCCAGACCTAATTCCTTCTCTTCAACCTTATCAATACTACCATGTTGCATTTGCACAGACAAATCATTCTCTTGTGCTTGATTTGCAGTTGCTAAGCCCTGATCATCAGCATCACTCAAATGACACTCAGGACCCTGAACCTGTCCTGACTGTATATCATCATTATGACCAAGAACAAGTTTAGAGTTATGCCCTTTTCCTAAATATTGATTCTGCTGACATGAGAAACCCTGCTTTTGCCTGATTGTAAAATCATGGTTTCCCATGGCTTAGAAAAGATACCACTCAACTAACGGGAAAACAAATCCTAGCCGTTTTATGTCTTGGTTTAAGAAAGGACCTGTCCATGTGAAGAGAAAAAAATAAAATTGTAAATCACCATCTTTCTTCTGCCCTTTCAAACGTAGTGCTGATTTTCATCATAAAAACCATTTAAAGCATTGCATTTAAACAAGCAACACTGCAATAAAATAACATTAACTATCAACAAATTAGAATCGAAATCTCAGTGGATTTTCCTTCAGTTCATAAATTTCAATAGCCAGTCAACCTAAGCAACAGAGAGCAAGCAACTGAAATCCAAAGCAATAAGCACAAAAGAAAATCACTGACCATAGATAAAATGAAATTTGAAAAGAAATTGTCTTAAAATTTTATTTGATTAATTCTTAAAAATCAAAATTTAAAAGAACCAATTAAGAACATTATCTCAACATTTTCAATTGAAGCTAGATACAAATCCTTAGATTTTAATGGAATTTTCTAATTTTCTTCCTATATCCAAACAAAGAGCAACCGTAGCTTTTCCAGGCTACCAAACAAAAAATCATTACTTTCCGTTTGTTAACACATGAAACACACAGAATTCAACATGTGGGATCAAATAATAATAATAATAATAATAATAATAATAATAAATTGAATCACACCTAACACAATCAATTCCCAGATAAAACCAAGTTCCCAGTTCTTAACACTTTCCCTTTTCCAAAACAACATGAAGCCTCAGCTATCAGGGGACCTCCAAAGAAACCCCTTTTTGCATCCTTCCCAGAAAACATTCTACGCAATCAAACACACCAAATCCCACACCAAGAAAAATTCAGAAACTTACCAAACAGAGCCGACCCTGGCACCGGGAAGCCAAAACTGGACAAAAAAATTGAAGCTTGGATCACCCAACAAAGAGGGTGAGGAAAAGGGTATGCGCAATTCAAAACGTACGGTTAAAAGCTGTGGAGAATTTGAAAGAAGCCATGTGAGAAAGAGAAGGGTGCAGGGTTTAAGAGTTTGGCGGGATGCAGGGGGTTAGAGGGAAAATAGCGAAAGGAAAAGGGTAAAGAAGGGGAAGGAAAAGGGTAGGGAAGAGGAAATTGCGAAGGCAAAAGGGTAGAAGGCGAAGCCCTCTAGGTTTAGCCAATTTAGGGGGTATTTGGGTCATCTTGTTCACTCTTTCCTCTCTCCTATATATAGAATCCCCGAACTGCCCTCTCCTTCCACCCAATGCTTGCAATGTGACAATTCACTGGACTGAACTGTATTGTATTGTGTTCCATAGTGGGTCTCACCCAATTTTTTCTATCTTCGTACTTTCTCTCTAAGTTTTAACATTTCTGAAAGTTGAGAATCTCCTCGTCCTCAACCTACTCAATTTTAATAAAGGGAAAACCATTTGTTAAGTCCCTCAAATTTACCATTAGTTTAATGTATGAGCCCTTGAATAAAAAAACATACATTTAAGCCCTTAAACCTCACAATCACAGCAAATCAGCCCTCATATTACAGACACTATTAGTTTCCATTAGGTTTGGTTGATGTAGCAGTTTAATGAAACATGTGAGCTATTTGACATAACGATTTGAAACTAACAGTTAGTAGTAGTTTCATTTAATCTAACAATGGGTAATAATAATAATTATTAATTCATGCATTCTTATTTATTAGATTAGACGAAATTCCTAATTGTGAGTTTCAAACCTTTGTACCAAATAACATTTTGGTTGTTACAGTAGCTAATTAAAAGAACATGAGACTCTTTCAATTAAATCCTTAAACTTGTGAAATTTAAAATAAATTTAATCCCTGAATTTAACCATTTTAACAAATCTACACCCATTTGCTAAAGACAAGAAAAATGAGAGAAAAAGGTGGTATTGTGGTAGATGTAGGTAAAGCCAATCTAACACAAAGAACAAGAAATAGAGAAAATTCATAAAGCTTTTATTTTTTTAAAAGAAATGTTATGTTATCTAGGCTATATAATGTAAATCATTAGATGGAAGTGAGTTCCTTAATATTAGAGATTATTCTCTATCCAATGGTTCTTGTTTTAAAATTGGATTCCTTTTTTTTTTTTTCCTTTATCCTTTTTTGAGAACCAAACACATAGTCAAGATTCCTAGGAAAGATCACTAGAAAAAATAAAATCATGGCAAAAAAAAAAAAAAAAAAGCAATGTGATTTTACCTAGAGACAAGGGGAAGTTTAATGTTTTAACAAAACTTAATAAAGAGTTATGAAGAATTGTACTACTTTTGCATAACCCATTGAAAAATAAAGGTTAATATCATTTTTAGTCTCTAAATTATTTTTTATACTTTTTTCATCATTAAACTATAAAAAATACACTTTTTTAATCATTCTGTTAGTTAGTTTGTTAAGTTTATTCATGTTAGGGCTAAAGAGATGCATATATTATAAGTTCAAGACTAAAAATACAAGTATATAAATGGATTGAAATTATGTTTATATAATCAGATTTAGTGCATGTTTGATGCAGTTAGTAAGAAGTGCTTTTCAGGTCTAAAGCTCCAACTATACCAAACACTACATCTTATGAAAAATACAAGTCCTTCTCACAAGCTGATCTTTTCCCATTCTAATGCAATTTTTAGAAGCATGAAATTCGTGCTTCTGTGGGAACTTTTATTTCTCATTTTAATGAAATTTACTCATTTTTCCTATTTTATCCTCACACTTCCTTCTATTTACAAAAAAACCACTATATATAGGTTCCAATTTATAACATCATCCACCATTACCAAGCAGCCCAGGCACATCTGTTTCTTCCCCGTCTTCTTAACCATCTTCTTCCTCATCCAATCAGAGAAGCAAACCGAAAATTCTTACCGCGATCTTCCTTGTCTTCTTTCTCCCTAAACTGAAAATCCCTCATCTTCAGTTTGGAGACGAACCCAGGAGTTGGATTCGCAGCAAACCTTGTGCTTGGGTTTCGAGACAAACTTAGGAGCTGGGTTCTAGACAAACCCAACACTTGAGTTCGCGACGAACCTCATGCCTGGGTTCCGAGACGAACCCAGGAGTTGGGTTTCGAGACAAACCCAAGATCTAAGTTCGCGATGAACCCCACACTTAGGTTCGCAACAAACCAAGGAGCTTGGTTCCAAGATGAACCCCGTGCCTGGGTTCGCGACAAACCCAAAGGTTAAAAGAAAGAAAGAAAGAAAAAAACAGCCAGAGGAAAGAGAGAATAATAACCTTTAAAATATTTATATTGATAATTATATAATTAAATGATTTTAAGGTTATATTAATAAAAAATTTAACCATGTTATTAACATTTATCATATGGATATTTCATGTAATTTAAGTAAAGAAAAAATATAAATTTTTTCTTAATTAATATATCACATTAAAAAGAAGTCGAATTTTTTAAATTTCAAGGATTAAAAAAAGATTTTTTTAGTCCAAGAATTAAAAAGGATTTTTTTTTAAATAGTAGAGGACCAAAAAGAATATTTAACTTAAGTTTTAATTTTAATTGTCTTATTTATGTTATTTAAATGTAATAATATTTTATTTTTTAATATTAAAATGTAAATATTTATCTAACATTTATGTTTAAAATATGAATAATTAAGTTTTAATCATCAACTTTAAACTATTTATAAAATTAAAGTCATTTAAAAATAGAAAAAAATGAAGTGAGAGTGATGAAGAAATAAACAATGTCTATTTCAGTCATTTTAATATTAAAATATCTTTTATAAAAAAATTTATCAAATAACTTTTCACTCTGTAAGTACTTCTATAAAACATTTTATCAAACACTATCAGCTTCTCAAAAACAACAATTCTACAATAAATTCATTCTAACAGGACTTCTATTAAAAGTTCCGGTCAGACCAACATACTCTTAGCGGATTCACCGATAAAATGATTAAAAAAATATATTTTTCATAGTTTAAAAATAAAAAAGGTGCAAAAAAATGTTCAAAATTGAAAGTTTGAAAACTAAAAATGATATTTAATAAAAAAATAAAATATCTTTTATAGTGGATTCCTCTTATCAAATTAAATTTCCTCGATCTCTTCTCAAAAAAAAAAAAAAATCTTTTATCTCTTCTTTTTTTTTTCTTTTTTTTTTGAGGAAAAAATCTTTTATCTCTTCTTATTTGAATATAGAAGCTGAGTCTTTTCCATCATTAATTGTTAGCAAGAATGGTGAGAAGAATAAAAACAAGAAAACAAAATAAACAAAATATGTAAAGTTTGAGTTGCATTTTTGGTAACGAAAATGTGAAGTTTGATCTTAATCACAAACACACACACACAAAAAGGGTTTTATTATATTTTAACTAAAATTAAGAACTAGGCATTATATATCTATGATTTTCTAATCGGTTTTTTTTTTTTTTTAAATTTAACTGCACCAATGTGAAAATAAAAAAGTAATTATAAAGCATAGGTGTTCTTTCAGTGTTTTGTTAAAATTTAAGGATTAACTTCGTTTAAAATTTGGCTAATTTATGGTTTGAATTGTAATGGTCCCATATTATTTTAGTTAGCACAATGACGATTGAGTTAAACTTAACAGCAACTAACACGGCTGATAACTTGAGGGTTGACGTGCACCCATCGTTCACCTCCGAAATCAATCCAAAAGTATAAAGTGACAATTAATAATCTTACAAAAAAATCTTACCCTCTAGGATGAGGTAGAACCTCAAATTCTCCTTCATCTTTTTCACATATATACACTAAACTTAAAGAATTCATTTACACAAGATTTATATATTATATTAATATAAAATTTTAATTATTTATTTTTTTATTTTCAATAATTAAAATTTATTTTAATTTTTTAATTAAAAAAATTATCTTTAATAAATATAATAATAAATAAATAAATCTCAACCATTAAAAAAATAAATTATTAAAATTTTATTTAAATATAATATATAAAATTTTTATATAAATAAATCTTACCCATCCACCAATGAAGCAAAACTTTTTATTAAATAATGTAAAACCTACATGCTGGAAGACGCTTTGGATTCGATGCCAAGACGAAATTCCAGCTGCTTCCCTTCCTTTCGCCTACACTATTATTTGAGAGTGGAATACTAATTTTCTTTTGAAAAAGGATATGGATTTACTTAAATGGCAAATTGTTATCCCTTTATCATATTGGCATATAATTAAAAAAATATGTTATGCAATTCATATTATATAATTTAAATTATTAAATGAGAAATAAATACCTTAATATTAGAGACTGTTTTCTTATCTAATAGTTTCCATTTTTTAGTTCAAAATATAAAATATGATACTCATACCATATAAAAGGAAAATTTTGTATTTTGTAAACAACTAACCTTAATAAATATATATGACATGAATTATGATTGCGGTGTTATAGGGACAACCTTTTTATACTATTTTTTGATACAATTTTTACATGTCATTAAATGAATGAATGCATTCAATATCGTGAGACTCACATGAATAAACAGAATCAATCATGTAAATAACACATCAGATTGTATAAAAAGGTAAAATAAAAAAGTTATCCCAAAATCATTTCCCATTAATATACTACATTTTTCTATGGTTAAATGTTATTTTAAGTTATTGAACTTTTAATTTGAATATTTTTAGTTCTTAAATTATTTTTTATACTTTTTATCCTTAAACTATAAAAAAATATACTTTTTTAATCACTTTGTTAATTAATTCGTTAAATCTGTAAAAAAAAGTGCACATAATTTTTTTTAATTTGAATAAAACATTTAATATTATATAAATTCACTCATCTAATATCATGTAGATATTATAAGATTTGTTGTCAAAAAATCAAAACCTAAATTAAAACCTACGTGGTGTAACATATAACAAAGAAGTATATCAAATTGATTATCGGTGTGTTTAGAATTGCTGTAAAGTATTATGGATGTACTATGCTATAACTATAGCTGAAAGTTATTTAGTGTTTGTTTTTTTTTTAAGTATTATAGATGAAATATGATAAATTTTATTAATTATTAATTAAAATTTATAAAATATTGTAAAATATATAATTATTAAAATATATAATATTTATTATTTTTTAATAATTTAGGTTTTTAAAAAATTTAAATTATTAAAGTATTATAAACTATGATATAATTAAATTATATGAAATTAAATTTTAATGGGTAATTTTGTAATTATATTAAATATTATGTGTTTTCTGTAAAAGCCACAAATAAAAAACTATAAAATGAGGCTTTTGACTTTATATATAAAATTACCGTAAATTTATTGTGATTATCTATAGCTTAAAAAAAAAAACTGTTTAAAAAAAATTACTAAACACATATATATTCAAAAATACTATGTGGTTACTTGAAAAAACTCCCAACTACAACCCTAAATGCACCCTATAACTAGAAAATGACCCTCTCTGTCCACTTTAGGTGCATTTGCTTCACAATACAAGTGCTGGGGTTAATTTGTCCTAAAAAATTGCCTACTTTTCCTTAAAATAATGTTTGTCATTGCTGATAATTTTTTTCTGTTTTTTTTTTTTAATAATACTCTCCTTTTTCCTCTTTGCTTCACCAAGATTTTGTAATAGCCTTTACTTTTTAGTTCAAATTAAAAAACAATACTTCCTTTCAGTAGGAATACACAAATTTCACCCTTCTGTTTTTTGATTTGGAGGATGAGAAGTTTCCAAATTAAATTTTGCATATTTCAATATTAATTCTTTTCAAAGATTTTAAGAGGACACAATTCACATTGATTTGATCTATTAAAAGAAATTAAGATTTTCTTAAATATTAGTTTAATTTAAAATTTAAATCTTAAATTTGATTTATAAAATAATACTCATGTATTATTAAATTTATCAAAATTTCAATCTTTGATAACCAATAGCAAATCTTTTAGAATGCGGCCTACAGCATGGGTGGTCACAATGTCGGTGTTCCACCCATCCCACCGGAATTCAACGTTTGAAACCTTCGTACTGCAATTCCCCCTCCCCATACAGCCCTCGTGCCCATCCGTTAAAGAAAGTAAGCCTCTACTTGCTTTGGCTTTTAGGATGGCTCTTCATTCTATATAACTATTAGTTAACAACAACCACCGATATTTTTAAATAATATAACATCCTATTTAAGAAAAAAAATTATAAGGAAATAAAATCAATTAAATCTAACACATCTTAATCCTTTAACATAGAAAATGAAATTTTTTTTTCATGTTTTATTTTGAAAAATTATAAAATTATATGAATTGTAGGCCAAAAAAAAAAAAAAATCTTTTGAAGTCAACAATAAGATAACCTTAATAAAGAATTTAAATGATCTTGAAAATTAAACATTAATAAAAAGTGTTCATTTGTCATACCTCCTACAAATTAAGCGTCCTTCACTTCTCATCCCAAAGACATATAGTGTTAATAAACATTATTTAGAAAATATTATACTTATAATTGATATTATAAAATTATAATTATATTATGTTATTATCTAATTAATTCTTTTAAATAAAAATTTATGTGCGAATCATTATATACTCATTTATTTAATATTACATAATTATTGCAAATTTAGAATCATACTTCACATTGAAAGTTTATCATTTTTGTTCAATCTAATTTTGAAAACCACGTCATTTTGAATGGACTAGAAGATATTTATTGAAACCATCTAGGTTTCTTCTTCTTCTTATTTTATTTATTTATTTATTTTTTAATTTTGAAACTATGGGGTTTTGGGGTGAACCTAGGAAGCTTTTGCTACCTCAGTTAATTTTTAATAAATCTAGTTTTTTTATTTAATAAAAAAATGTATAATAATTTATTAATAAAATTTTATATTTATCTCAAATTAAGTATAACTTAAATTAAATATTTTATTTAATATATATCATAGTTACCTTTTAAAAATGAATAAAATAAAAACAAATACATTAAATAACATCCTTAAAAAAATAAACAATTAAATTTAAATACTTCAAATAGAAAGTTAAATTTATTAAAATGAAACAAGGAAGTAATTTTTTAAGTTGACGAACACTATTCTTTTTATGTTCGAGGTAAGGGAGCCAATAAAAGATATTGTCATGGAATGTTGTCAATAAATGGTTAATAAATCATCATTAAACGAACATTAATAAATCTTTTTGAGCACAACCACAAGTGAGGTTGAACTTGGGCTCAAGTTTATTTTTTGTTAAAAAGTCGGAGCTTGAATTCTATTTTCTCAAGGAGCTATCCTTGTGCTTTAAATAAAAAAAAAACTCCGAGCAATTTCCGCTTGCCTGGTTGTCTTGCCCACCGCAGAGGGACTTGCAAGAAAGTAGGCTTGTCTATAATGATAGTAGGGGTTTATTTCTATACTGCTTTTATATCAACTAAAACAAACCAAGCCAAAACCCATTATTAGGCTAATAATTCTTTCAGGTCAATGTCTATGAGTATTTAAAAACTCAAGTTTAAGTTATTAATAATAATTGATTTTTATACTTATGTACAAAATTCACTCACAAGTCTTCACTGATATGAGATTTTAAGGTTACACTAAGTATCTTACAACTCAAGCAAACCCTTCAGAGCTTACATTTTGGTGACATATATGCTTTTGCAATTCAAAAATGGAAAAACAAACATTATAAGAAGATTGACCTAACATCTTTCTTGAGTTGGTAAAAAATTACAGCACAATCAAAATATAGGCTTCCACTAACCCTAAGAAGCGTCGCAACGGTATAAAAAATGCTATAAGCAAGAAGCTTCTTGGACCCCAATTCAGATTTGCTGTCAATCATGCCATTAAACTATATTGGTATAGTCATCGCTTCAAATTGCTGGAAAGCTGTAAACCTAGTTAACACAAAAAGATTTAAAATAAAAAAAAGAAAAAAAGGAAGAAGAAGAAAGGATGCTTGTTTCGAGTGGTGCATCATTCTGATTCTGCCAAATTAAGATATTAGCAATCCAACCCTAAACCTGTTCCACATGGCATTGTGCAATCTATCAAGAGGATACGTTTCCTTCTAATTGCACTGATTCAAGCTTCGGTAGCAGATCTGAAACAACCCTTTGCAGTGCAATGAGGTTCATCCTATTGTTACTTCCATTTATGACCACTTTTTTGAGAAAAGTAATCTCTTGAATGTTGAAATGCTCACTAAGCAGCTTGTTCCAGAACTCATCATCCTCATTGAGATTTGGTGCCTTAATGAGCTCTATAACCTGCTTCAGTGTTGCTACATTCCTCCCAGCGCCAGAGCCCATTGCAGTTGCAGCCCCCACAGCATTTGCAATTGCTAATGTACTAATAAGGGGTATATCATGTATAAAACCAAATGCAACAGCAGCCACGAAACTGTCCCCACATCCAACAGTGTCAATTACTTTCACCTGATCAAATTTCACAGTAGAGTTAGTCTTTATTTGCAAATGAAAAAGTAAAATGTGAAGAAACTGAGACATGATAGAGTAATGTTGCTCAAACCAGCTAATTTTCTCCACATGTCCTTCAGGGAAAAAAAAAAGGGAGAAGATTTAATGCTGAATATTGAATAATGAAAACAAACAAATATGTTGAAAAAAAATGTTTTTAGAATAGAAGTTAATGCTGTAAGGCTTTGGCATCTTTTTTCTATCTTGTTAGCTAAAGTTCAGAACAAGAGCACTTCTGCTTTCAGATGAGAAACAGTGAGTGCAAAACACGGTATTGGCTATGAATACCATTAGCAAGTCATTATTGTTTTTGATAACTATCAGTGAGCGAAAAGAAAAAGTTAGTATATAAATTGGGCACTCAAAACATATAATTGGTGGGAAGGAAAAAGCATAAAATATAGAATATAAGCTTTTCATAAAAATGGAAAAGTTAAAAACTACAATTTGGCACCTGAAATGCTGGTGCACAAGTTACACTAGATGTGGTGATTAGAAGTGAACCCTTAGGACCCATTTTCACAATCACCCATTTGGTCCGCACTCCTCTCCTCAACAACTCCTGCCCTGCCAATGTTGGGTTTCCAATACCAGTCAATGATGCAGCCTGCCAGATAGTTAATATAATATTAGAGGATGTTAGGATGAGCTGTCAGAAAGGATGGATGAAGTATTTACTCTCCATTTAACAATGAAAGGTACATCAACTGCCATAAAAAGCTAAATACTACCTACGGTACTAAAAACCTATACAATAGCGAATGCATTTATTGAAGGTTGAGGGGCACCGAAGTAGCTGTTTATCAATCAACGGAATCAAGAAATTCAGTTATTACATCTTATACATTTAATCAACATTCAATAATCAGGGGTACGGCTAAAATTTGTAAGATAAAGAAGCTCCAAGCAGATAAAACAGTCTCTTTGCCACATAACTTTAAAGAATAGAAGCAAAAACAATCCTCCTCAAATGTTTACAGATCCAAAATAAGCTCACCCTCGTGATACTAGATTCTCAACTATTGTAGATATGTAGAGTTGTAGTTTCAATTCTCTAGAAATATACTATGTCCTAGTTTCCCAAGCATTCTCACAACAAATTGTCACAATCCTTAAGAGATTGCCTTTTCACAAACACAGTGGTATATACAACCATTTATGCATTTGCTGTCTCTGAGTGTGAGCCTTCAAATTTTAAAAATGTATAATCAGATGGGTTAATGCCTTAGGATGGAAAGTCATGACCCCTTCACCTTCTTATTTCCATTGTTAACTGATCCTTCATTAAAAAGTCATTAGAATGGGAGACTAATGCAGGACAGAAAAAGATAGAGCACACATGCACAGTAACATGTGCAGCCCAGAAACACATAAGAAAATGGACAACAAAAAGGTAGACAAAAATCTCCATTCATTTTGCAAAAATTAATACAACAAACCTCATCAGATGTGAGAAGAAGGACATCACTCATCCTCAACAAGTGACTAAGTGCTTTCTGCTCCTGAGGTGTTCCAGTTAAAAGACTCTTTCCCCTTGGTCCAGGATCAAAAAAGACTGATGTACCAACTTCTACAGCATACTCCACAGATGAGACTAGCACATTAGGGGAAAACTCATCAAAGTCATAACCATTGCAGAAGATGATTCTTGACTGTTTAATGGCCTTCTTTACTTGGTCAGAGAGTTTGCTCATCCAACTGAATGCAGGCCCCTCACTAAAATCAAATCGACTGAGAAGCAGAATAAGCATATTTAGTCAAAATTGTTCCCAATAAAGATAGTGATATACAAATGATGACTACAATTACACTGATCAACGATGCAGATGAATGGTGAAAGGGCTACAGCAGGAACACTTCTGTAGGAACACCCGCAAATAAAAGTTTTAGTTGAATAACTTCACCTGCAAAAGCCATGCCTGTGCAAAGGATCTACAAGCACCCAACACAGAAGTGTTTCATATGACCCACTAGAACCAGTAGTAAAATCAGTTTCTTCACTCATCTCAACCACACCAATTCCTTCATCACGAAGAACATCCTGCAGGAACTTCCCATAGATTTCATTACCAACATGACCAATTACAACACAGTTAAGCCCCAACCTTGCAGCTGCTATAGCCACATTGCAGTTACCACCGGCTTCCCAGTATTTCTGCGTGAGTGCAACCATAAGGTCCAAAACCCATAATCACAGTTCAAATCTAATATAAATCAGCTAAGAATTTCACATTATAAGGAAAGGAAACAAATAATCAGATACTCTTCAAAACTATACATAGATGGAATGCCATCAAATTCAGAAGATACGGCAATAATGCATGTACAAAAGACGAAATGAATTGGGCACAATCAACATAATTCACCTGACCCATTTCAATTCAAAGGCAGAATAACTTCCAGAGCAAATATAATCTAATGAATGCAAAACAATTGAGGAAATCACAATAAGGGAGTCTGTAAACTGTAGCAGTAAGAAATCTCTACCTTATCTGGAGGGGACGCCGATAACTGTTCCATATAAGCCTTGCGAGCCTCCCGCGATGGAGGGGGTAATTCGGGAACATCGAGCACAATATCGACGCAGAGGTTCCCAAGTGTGGCTACGTCAATGGTCTTGACAGCGGCGGGATTACGGTCTTGAAGGACAGTATTGGAGGAAGCAAGAGAGTGAGGGGGGTGTTTCAGGGCAGGGATATGAATTCCCCGGCAGCTGAGGGGGGAGCAAGGTCGGGTGTTTGGTTGGAGGGGATGAGAAATGGGGAGTAGAAGGCGGGAAGGGGAAGGAGGAGACGGATGGTAGTGGTGGGGAAAAGGGGTCGGGGGTTTGAGGGTTGTTGCTTGGTGATGCATTCAGCTTGGGAGTGAAGGAGAGGAGCCGGAGGGT